TTTCGTTATAACCTAAAATATATAATGTAATGAGATGAGGTAGAAAAATTATTAACAACGCGTTCCAACAGAGCATTTGTTTTCTTTGGCTTCCTTAGGTTTCAGTTTAAATGCTTAACGGGATAACCTTTAATGTGTAGCGACAATGTACCACATCTGTCCTTAAATGTTACTGTAAGTTATGAACTTCTCTACTACGAAACTAGCGGGAACAATTACTAGTAAAATCACAAAAAAAATTGGTCTGTCTAGCATAAAACTTGCCAATAGACGTAATACCTTAGAGAAGAAAAATACCGAAAATCGAAAGATAAGCGAAAAAAAAAAAAACAGTAAAATAAAATACAATGTTACCCTTTCAAAGTCATATCTATCGAGTCTAATGCATTTTTCCTGTGCAGTAAATTAATGTGTTCAATTCCTAGACTAATATGACAGAGTCAACAACTCCTCACAATGTCAATATATATATATATATATATATATATATATATATATATATATATACACACACACACACATATATATATATATATTTATATATATATATATATAACGTCATCCACAGACAGACTGTTTCACAGCTCATCAGTGTGGCTAGACATCTGGTTGCCTCTAGCTAGGATCGAAACCCGACTGAATTGGTGTCAGTCGGAGATTCTAACAATTAAGCAGTCGGCGCACGGTAGGGATGAAGGTGGATTTTAGCGTATTTTATTTTTAGAAACACGCCCAGTGACCAACAGTGACTCAATTCGCTTTTGCAAAGAGTCTCGCTATATAACTATAATAGTCACTGTTTACCAACCCACACCTCCTCCCCAGAGAGCTCAAGTGAAATTAATTTTTCAGGAGCCATAATTGAAATAAAAAAGACCACTTTAAGGTTCCATGTAATAAATTATTTCGCCACACCCCTTTTAAAAGGACTGTGGATCATCAGACTTTACTTCCAAAGGTTGAAACAAAAAATGAAAAGAAATTTACACTTTTTTGACGGGCCGTATTAAGCATATGTAAATTAATGAAGTGAGGAAGTTTAAATGTGTCAATGTCTGGACCTCCTCAAGTAATTTTAAGTATGAAAGAATAGAAATATTAAATTACATCTCACTCATGTCTTCTCTATCCCCTCTCTCCACACTCTACACACTTTCATTCCAAGCACTGCTATAGTCAACAGAAGTGAGCAAGAACATTAATTCTCACGGAGCTTACAGTACAGTGTTCAAGATCTATCTGTGCCAAGCGGCTTTACTCTGCGTACTTTAGCTCCGTTAACATAACAACGTAACAGCGTTAACATAGCAACAGTCCCGATACTTTCCTCAGAACGTATCGTAGATTTAATAAACGACGTTATATGTCTTGAAAACTGGAAGTCAAAATGGCCACAACGGAAAGAAAAGTGGAAAAAAAGAAAAAGAGAGAAAATTTAAGCAGTGAGATTAAAGTGAAAAAAAAACAAAACACGAGATTCTACACATACGCACATTGCGCGGACGGGTGCCACACACACTCACACACATACACACACACACACGTACAAATACACTATGAAAAAAAGCTTGCGCATAATCTGTTTATATAAATGATAAAGAATTATATGCGGTAAATTGCTGATATCCTTTGAGGAGTGGACGGAGTAATTCTCGGAGTAATTCCGTCTGCGAAATTCTGGAACCCTAATTCTGAAGGTAACATCAATCAGCTAAGTGACAAACATTTTACTTGCATTAATTCTCTCTCTCTTTATATATATATATATATATATATATATATGTACTTTCTTTTATCTTATTTTATTTTACATTATTTTCTTTTCATTCATATGTATTATTTTTATTAGTACTTTTATTTCATCACGGCATCGTGATGAAATAAAAGTACTAATAAAAATAATACATATGAATGAAAAGAAAATAATATTATTAATTTCTCTTTTGATTATAGGAAAAATAGATTTGCCTCCCTTGATTTTCTAACGTCCCTTCTTGTTTACTTACTTTTGTAGCATCAGTGTCTCTCTAAATTAGAATTTATATTTCTTATAAACCAAGCTTATTTTCTATCTTAAATGTTAATCTGGACCTAAATTCAAATTCAAAATAAAACTACAATTTATTTACATATTTTAACAAATATAATATTTCACCGCAACAACAAAATATCACGCGAGAACAAGCAATTGTTTAAAAACCGCTGTCAACCTAAAATTAAAATAAAAATGATAATTTCAACCTCTTGACTGTTGCTTCGTCATGAAACTCGGAGTTATATATTTGTAAGGTATTACGTATACTTAAATAGCTCTGTTATTTAAAATTGAGCACTGTTTTTCCTTACACTATAGAGTATTTATATGTATTTGTATACGGTCGCTCGTTCATATACCTACCTATATATAACCGTTCCATTATATATATATATATATATATGTGTGTGTGTGTGTGTGTGTGTGTGTGTGTGTGTGTGTGTGTGTGTGTGTGTGTGTGAGAGAGAGAGAGAGTTTTACATGTATTCATAATTATTTTAGTACATATTCTCTTTTACTGGGGTATTCACTTCTATCATTAAACACAATTTTACTTTGTAAAAAACAAATTTAACTTAATGGAAATTTTAGATACACAGGCAGGAAAAAATATGTAATATTCTCATGTTTAAATATTTCTTTCTGTGCAACAACAATTTAAAACCCAAACATCTTTCCGTAATAAATTCGATTTAGAAATAATGTACAAATAGAATTTTTCCTTTTTTTATTTTCAAAAATTCCGAATACGATTTTTCCCCATAAAATTTCCAAAATTCATCAGGGAAACACGTGTAAAAACAGTAGCAGACATAAAAGCCACAAAGTGTAGAAAGCATAACAATGTTGACGTCTCACGAGACATTGGTAATACATGAGAAAAAGCAAAAAGAATATGAATATTGGTCATTGTATCAAAAGGCAGCAAAATACAACTAATGAAAACACAATCCCTCAAAGAATATGAATAAACAATGTTTAGAGAGAAAAAAGAAAAGAAAAACAAAAAATGGGTTTGAATTTAAATATTGTGCATATAAAATTAATTCATACTTATGAAACGAAGTCACCCGACTAAACATGGCATATAATATACAATTCATACATAATTTTTTTCTTTAAATCGATTCGCTCCAAGCAAGGCGATAATGCCTAGATGACACAATCGGTTACTGAGGGTGAAAGAGTATAAAAAAGACTTTATAAGAAAGCGGAAACCCAATCCTAATGAATAAATAAGGAGAAACCTCTACTCCAAGGTGTTGTGCCTACCGTCTGTGTTCAAATTAATCACCCAGATTATGCAGTATCGCCAAGAAACAAAGATAAGGGTAGCTCAGCATAATAGCA